TTTGGCGGGTCGGGCTGGGGATTCGAACCCGCCACCTTAGGTGTATGTGGCTGGCGCCGTAGCCGGTTGAGCTATAGGCGCCGAGCCTCCATTTATCTTTATAAAGAAGACATTTCAATAAACTTTTGACCAGACACAGTGGTTCATGCCTGTAATCCTAGCAGTCTGGGGCAGAGCCAGACAGACTGCTTAAGCTCAGAATTTGCCTAAGCAAGAGACTCTGTCTCTACTAAAAATAGAAAAGTTAGCTTACAGGGTGTTGTGCACCTGTAATCCTAGCTACCTGGGAGACTGAGGCATGAGGATCACTTGAGCCCATAAGTTTGAGGTGCTATGAACTAGGCTGACACCATGGCACTCTACCCAGGGTGACAGAGCAAGACTCTGCAAGGAAGGAAGGAAAGGAAGGAAGAAAGAAAGGAAGGAAGGAAAACAGGCTGGCTTTTATTTTATGCACAAACATAATAAAAGAAGTACAGGCTGGGTACCCATAGCTCAGTGGTTAGGGTGCAGGCCACATGCTCTCCGGGGCTGGAGTGTTTGAACCGGCCTGGGCCTGCTAAACAAACAACAACAACAAAAAATAGCCAGGTTGTGATGGGAGCCTATAGTCCCAGCTACTAAAGAGGCTGAGGCAAGAGAATCACTTGAGCCCAAGAGTTTTAAGTTGCTATAAGCTATGACACCATAGCACTCTACAGAGGGTGACAAAGTCAGATTCTGTCTCAATTAACCAAAAAAAAAAAAAAAAGTACAAAGAACTTCCATATATGTTCTACACAAAGTTAACATTTTGGCACATTTGGTTTCTCATTTCTTTCATTTCCCCATGTACAGACACACACGTGTACACACACGCACATGCAGACACGTTTCTTTCATTTCCCCATGTACAGACACACACGTGTACACACACACATATGCACAGACACACATGTGTACACACACATATGCACACATTTCTTTCATTTCCCATGTACAGACACACATGTGTACACACACGCACATGCAGACATTTCTTTTTGAACCATTTGAAAATAAGGAACAGACATTACACTTTTATCCCTAAATGCTTCACTGTGGGTTTCCTAATAATAAAGACATTTATTTATATAACCACAGCAAATAATGAGTAAATTCTTAATAACGTATATAATATTATTAACTAATCTACAGACCTTATAAAATTCTGACAATTTGATCTTTACCATGTTTTTTTTCTGGTCCAGAATGCAATATAAGATAATACATTATTATATTTAATTTCCTTAAGACTAGGCTTTCTAAAATTCTACAGCTTTACAATTTTAATGCCTAGCTTTCAAGTCCTTTTAAGTAATAGGTTTTTTGTTATTATTATTATTATTGTCTTTGAAATTTTATGGCCTGGTACAGTGGCTCACACCTGTAATCCTAGCACTCTGGGGGACCAAGGTGGGTGCACTGCCTGAGCTCACGTGTTCAAGACCAGCCTGAGCCACAGTGAGACCTCATCTCTAAAAATAGCCAGGCACTGTGGTGGGTGCCTATAGTCCCAGCTATTCGGCAGGCTGAAGCAAGAGGATCACTTGAGTGCAAGAGTTTGAGGTTGCTGTGAGCTATGACACCACAGCACTCCACTAAAGGCAGTAAAGTAAGAGTCTGTCTCAAAAAAAAAAATTGTTTTTCTTTTTATAAGATTCACTTTTCCTGTTTTCCCTTCCATATAAAGTAACAGCTGTTTAAGAAAATGGCTGAGTCCACTGTTGGGGCACAGAAGACAGATGAACACAAGACATCTTTGTGGTTCCAGAATATTAAAAAGTGGTAAAAAAGCTCAAGAGGACAGGACAAAAGAACACAGAGGGGGTGCCCACTGGCCAAACCTGAAACAATGAAAATATCAAAATAAATCTGAATAGTAATGGATTATAATCCATCATACCAAATAGGAATCCAGGAATCTATACTAATGACAAGATAAATAGCTGGGCATAAAAGGAGGTTCCTTGTTATAGTAATCATTTATAATTATTAAAGTGAAAGAGTCAGAAAATCACATTTTACAACCATTACTATAAGGACTGGTTCGGGCAAGAATCCATGGATGCAAAATTGGGAAGATCTGATAAGGTGCAAGACAGTTTTGGGTCTTAAAGTGTCTCCCACAGGATGGCTATTACTTATAGGGAGGAAAAATAATAAACTATAGAGCAGGCGCACTCAAACTATAGCCCGCAGGCCACATGTGGCCTGTCTAGGACATTTATCTGGCCCGCTGGGTGTTCTTTCCGACTCGTCCCCAGGCCTGCAGTCCAGTCCTCCAATGGTCTGAGGGACAGTGAACTGGCCTCCTGTTTAAAAAGTTTGAGGACCCCTGCTATAGTGTATACACACTTATACTGGATTCTCAAAATTACCATCATCAATGCCTCTGCATATGATTCCTTGAAAGGGATGTAACATGCTTATGTAATATTCCAATTGTACATGTACAACCTGATGTAACCATGAGAAAATAGCAAATCAACCTAAAATAAGGAATATACTTTTAAAAATAATGGAGGAAGGCCAGGGGCAGTGGTTCACCCTGTAATCCTAGCAATCCATCATATCGAGGCAGATGCATCAGTTTTGAGCTTGAGTAGCCTGAGCAAGAGTGAGATCCTATCTCTACTAAAAATGAAAAACTGAAGCAAGAGGATTGCTTGAGCCCAGGAGTCTGAGGTTGCTGTGAGCTATGACACCATGGCACTCTACCAAGGGCAACAAAGTGAGACTGTCTGAAATAAAATAAATTAAAATTAAATTAAATAAAAAATAAAATAAAATAGGCTCGGCGCCTGTTGCTCAGTGGCTAGGGTGCCAGCCACATATACCAGAGCTGGCAGGTTTGAATCCAGCCTGGGCCTGCCAAACAACAATGACAAGTACAACCAAAACATAACCAGGCATTGTGGCAGGTGCCTATAGTTCTAGCTACTTGGGAGGCTGAGGCAAGAGAATCGCTTAAGCACAAGAGTTAGAGGTTGCAGTGAGTTGTGACACCACGGTCCTCTACCCAGGGCGACAGCTTGAGACTCTGTCTCAAAAAAATAAAGAAAATTTTAAAGAACAATAAAATAAAATAGAGAAGAGACAAGACAAGACCAGACCAGAAGAGACGAGATGAGAAGAGAAGAAGAAAAGAAAAGAGAAAAGGAAAGAAAGCAGGAAGCCAAACATAGTGGCTCACATCTATGAGACCAGCACTTTGGGAGGCTGAGGCGGGAGGATTGCCTGAGCCCAGGAAATCCAGGACAGCCTAGTCAACAGAGCAAAATCCCCATCTCTTAAAAACAAAACAGAACAAAACAACAAAAAAGAAACGAATAAATTCCCCTCATGTATACAAAGTAGAAATTAAAACTCTGTGAAATTTTGACCTCAATGCATTTCTTAGTTTACTTTTAAACCCAAATCCAACTCTACATTTACTGTAACTGGTCATTTTCTGTATGCTATATAACATATGTGAGTCCTATTTCCTAACACACAAAAAATGCTAATCTTTAATGTTTAATCCCTTTATCAATTTGATAAAAATCTGATTTTCACAAAAGTGATAATTTTTAAAACACCACATGAGTGTCTACACGAATCCATATATGAGATAAAATCACCTAGAAGCAATGTGCTCACACTCAGAAACTAGCACGTGTAAAACTGATCAAAGTGGCAGAAAGTCTCTAGACTGTACCAACGTCACTGTCTTGGTTGGGACAGTGTGCCCTAGAGTGACGGAATGTTCCAAGTGGAGATGGCTGGATGAGGGACACATGAGACCTTTCTGCACTGTCGTATGTCAACAAAAAAACAAAGTAAGATTTAGAAAAAGGGAATTCATACTGGTTGGGCTAGGACCCTGTGGACAAGGATCCTATAGCGAGGATCCTAGGACAAGGATGAAGTAAACTTCTGAGAGAGATCATAACTAACAGGGAAGGTTCACAGATCAAATGAAAAGAAGAAATGAGGCAGGAATGGGTGGCTCATGCCTATAATCCTACCACTCTGAAAGCCAGAGATAGGTGCACTGTTTGAGCTCAGGAGTTCAAGACCAGTCTGAGCAAGAAGACCCCGTCTCTACCAAAAAATAGAAAAATTAGCCAGGTACTGTGGCAGGCATCTGTAGTCCCAGCTACTCAGGAAGCTGAGGCATGAGGATCACTTGAGCCACAGAGTTTGAAGTTGCTATGATGATGCCACAGCACTCAACCTCAGAGCAACAGAATTAAGATTCTGTCTCAAAAAAAAAAAGAAAGAAAGAAAGAAAGAAGAAATGAAATCATGAACCCAAATAAACAGGTGAGTATTAAAATGAGAAAGAACACTTCTGCCATAGAGGAAAAAAAAAAGGGAAAAGGTGTTTATATTCTTCAAAATGTCATGCCATAAAACACAATGAAAGGGTTAAGAACTGTTCCAGATTAGGAAACTATATAGATGATACTGAATTGGATCTTGTTCTGGGGGAGGAAATAAAAAGAAGCTATAAAGGACATTGTTGGGACAGCTGACAAAACTGGTATACAGATTACAGAACTAAACATGTTAGTAAATGTTAAATTTCCTATACTCTGGTTCCACAAGAAAATGATATTACTCTAAGGAAAATACACTTAATGTTTTAAAGGGTAAAAGAACATGATCTATTCGGTCTATTTACAAATAGTTCATAAAAAACAATTTGTGTGTATTTATGTGTATATATAAAGTGAGAGACGGAGAAAGATTATAAAACACATATGGCAAATATTAAAAATTGATCTCGATAAAAGATACAGAGTTCTTTGCATTATTCTGCAAGTTTTCTGTTAAGTTAAAAAATTATTTCAGAAACCATTTCAAAAAGTATGTGCATTTCCCTTGGCAGAAAATTCTTAAGAGTTTATCTGGTTATAGGTATCAAAACCTAAGAAAGCTAAATCTGACTAGAATAACAGATCAAATTAATACCTATCACCTTTCATACAAGGCATTTATTAAATTACATCTAGATTCTTAGCAGAGAAAAAAATTAAAAAATGCAACCACCAAATGACTGAATAAACCAGAAATCAAAAATTGTATGTAAGGTAAGATCAATTATACCTAATAACTTTTTCCAGGATTTGATGAGAGACTTTGCTAACGATGTAACTTCTTCATCTGTACTCTGCTTACGAATAGCATTAACTGACATTCCGATTCTTGTGGACTGCAAGGCAACAAAAAAAAATTATGTACACTAATTTTATTTTAAACAACTTAGCACGTCACCCATATTTTCTTCTTTCCCAGATTCCTGTTTCCATTTTAGAATTTTGAAACCTCAATTATTTGAATTCTTAGAATAGCAAACTATATTCTTAAGATACATAGATCTTCAGATCAAACATCGTCATCAATGCTCTTACCAATGAGCTCTAGAAGCACACAATTTGCTGTTGCAACAAGGCCGGCTAACTACGAAATGAACTCAGTCTTACCACAAGGGAAAAGTGAGGCTGAGATATAAAATGTTGTGGATAAAAGGCAGGCTGAAGCAACGGTGACTAACAAATGCACTTCTTTGTGTCTGTGCCTTTTTCCATGTACATTACTACATAGAGCACCAGCAACAACTTATAATGAGGCTATCCAAACAAAAACTACCACTTACCGACATTTAAAAGGCTTTCTTTGGACACGTAATCACGGATATTAATAAAGACTTCACAAAATACAGATAAAATTCAAAATGCAGTAATATTATATGCCCAGGATTATGCTCAGAGCATCCATTAATTCTCTTAACAACGCTTCAAAGTTGAGATCATTAGCTCTACTTTTAAAGATGAAGAGATTGAAAGTCCAGTGAATAATTTGCCTAGCATTCCAGTTACTAATTGGCAACCTGGGAATTTAATCCAGGTCAGTCCACCTCCAAAGTCCATGTTCTTTCCAGCACATCAATGGTTTTCAAACTGTGCTCAGAGAACACAAAAGCTATGACAGCCCAATTATAGGTGATAAATTTAAAAAAATAGTAAATTATTTAGTAATTTCAGGTTGTTAGTAAACAATCTTTCAAAACAAATTGTCTATGGAAGAAAAAATTACCAAAGGAATTCTTAGTGCTGAAAAAAACAAGAGAATCCCTGCTGTAAGCTTTACAAAGAAAAATAAAGTATACTTAAGGTTTCCTTCTAAATTATTCAACCCTCTCAACAAAAGACAGATTCTGTATATAAGTTGTGTTCTAGAATTTAGAATATGTACTTGGCTGGAGTCTCCTATGTTGTACCTTTTGGAGAGCTGAGCAAAGCAGATAAGGTTCAACAGCAGAAAGATAAAGGGGACCTCAAAATCCTAAAGCCCCAAAGTTGTTTAGGGGTAATCAGTCAAGTTTTCTAGGAAAAAGCCTATTTTTTTAATGAGTGCAAGAAATAACTCGGGTTACTAAGAGAGTTATGAAGCTTTTTTCTTTGAGACAGAGGCCACTATGTTGCCCTCGGTAACAGCGACCTCCAGCTCTTGGGTTCAGGCAATTCTCTTGCCTCAGCCTCCTGAGGAGCTGGTACTACAGGCGCCCACCACAACGCCCCATTATTATTATTATTATTTTTTTTTTTTTGAGACAGAGCCTCAAGCTGTCCCCCTGGGTAGAGTGCCGTGGCATCACAGCTCACAGCAACCTCCAACTCCTGGGCTCAAGCGAGTCTCCTGCCTCCGCCTCCCAAGTAGCTGGGACCACAGGCGCCCGCCACAACACCCGGCTATTTTTTGGTTGCAGCCGTCATTGTTGTTTGGCGGGTCCGGGCTGAGGATTCGAACCCGCCACCTTAGGTGTACGTGGCTGGCGCCTTGCCCCATTATTTTTTGTTGCAGTTGTCATCATTGTTTAGCTGGCTCGGGCCAGGTTCCAACCCACCACCCTCAGTGTATACGGCTGGCGCTGTAACCACTGTGCTATGAGCGCTGAGCCAGTAGTTCTGAAGCTTTGAATTGACGCAAACTGCAGGGAAAATGGTGTTTTAGTAGGACGTGCGAAGAGCAGAGGTATAGGAGAAGACGAATACATTGTGTGCTGCTGGGTGACTACTTTTTAATTATCAGAGGACGTTTTGATTACTAAAAAGTTAACAATTATCCTACTTTACAACTAACAAAGCCCATACATTGAATACCATAATAAACATGCTAAGGAAGAGACTGTAGTCAATAATAAATGAGGCTGCCCAGGTAGAATGAAAAACAAAGATCTGAGCTAGGTTTTTCCCCTTCTGTAGGGTGTTGGGGGGAAATGGAAAAAGTAGACAGAGGAAATGTTTATAAATCTTGATTTACTTGCATAAACCAAGCCTGGATTTGCCTCTAGGTAAAAATTTCTAGGGAATTTTCCTAAACCCTATATGCTAAGATTTGTACAATGTAATTTTTGGGCAATAAAAAAGTCTTTTGTGTTCAAGTTACATTAGGAATTGTGGCACTGAACAGTTTTCTTAACTGTAGGACTAATGAAAAGTGTTCATGCAATTCCTCTACTAGGTACATACCCAGATGATCAAAAATTATTTTACAACAAAGACATTTGCACCAGAATGTTTACTGCAGCCCAATTCGTAATAGTCAAGACATGGAAACAGCCCAAGTGCCCATCAACCCATGAATGGATTAACAAATTGTGGTATATGTACACCATGGAGTTCTATGCAGCCATAAAAAAAGATGGAGACTTCACATCTTTTATGTTTACCTGGATGGAGCTGGAACATATTCTTAGTAAAGCATCCCAAGAATGGAAAAAAAGTATCCAATGTACTTGATACTACTATGAAATCAATATATAACCACCTACAAAGTCATATGAATGGCAAAACATAACTCTAGTCCATAAAGTAGAAGGGAAGAGGGGAGAGAGGGGTGGAAAGAGGGGAGAGAGGGGTGGGGAGAGGGGAGAAGGGAGGGTATTCCGGGGGACCTCACCTAATGTGCATGATGCAATGGTACATTTCAAAACTATTAAGAAATGAGTATAACTGTGATGGATGTGTTACTTGGTTCAATGTAAACATTTCACATTGTATATTGAAGCAATATCCTAAACCCCATAAATGCATCAATGTATAAAGTTATGATTTAATAATAAGTAATTAATTATTTAAAAAAATAAGAGAGCTTCCCCCCCAAAAAAGAAAGAAAAGTGTTCAAGACAAACTATACACTGTGAAATTTGAGGAGAGAAAACGTGTGCCTTTCTCCATGGCTTGCACAGAACATTAGGTAGACAGTAAGAAAGACATTACCTTGGAAAGGTGGAGAGTGCACTAAGCAGACTTAGGGAATCAGCTGCACAGTGATGGTAAAGCAGAAAGGAATGAACACTGAGATCAAGAGACACTGTTTACATCACAGGAGACAAGCAGACTGGTGTGCTCCAGAAGAAAAATCTCCTTCGTGATCACTCATGAGTTTTGTCAAGATGATCTGAAGGTAGCCACTAAATCTTAAGGTAAAAAACATATAGCTACTATACAGCTAATATAAAACACAGAAAAAGTGTAAAAACACACATGTATATAAAACAACATACAAGAAGAAACACAACTACTATAAAACATTGGTGAACGGCATTAAAGACAACCTAAGTAAATAAAAACTCTCACATTCACAGGTTTGGAAGACAAACATTAAGACTATAATACTCATCAGGTCAAACTACAGATTCAATACAATCTCTATCAGAATCCCATTCACCTTTTGTGCAGAAATTGACAAAGCTTATCCTAAAGTGCATATGGAAATGTAAGAACCCAAAATAGCCAAAATGATCTTGAAAAAGAATAAAGTTGGAGCACTCAAAAGTCCCAATTTCAAAATGTACTGCACCAAAGACAGAATAAGCAAGACAGTATAGTACTAGAAAGGGCAGACATGTGGATCAGCAGACGAGATTTAAGACTCCCGAGATCAACCCCTACACTTTCGTCAAGTGATTTCAGACAAGGATGTAAAGAAAATTCATTAAAGAGTATTCTTTTCAACTAATGGGGTCAGAACAACTAGACATCCTTATGTAAAGAATGAAGTTGGACCTCTTCAACACACAAAAATTAACTCAAAATGAATAGGTGTAAATCTTCATGACCTTGAATTAAGAAACCGTTTTTTAAATACAATACCTAAAGCACAAACAACCGAAGAAAAATAGATAAATTAAACAACATCAAAAAAATTTCTGTGCTTCAAAGAACACCATCATGAAAGTAAAGAAGCCGAGTGTGGTGGCTCACGCCTGTAATCCCAACACTGTGGGAGGCTGAGGGAGAATCGCTGGAGCTTAGGAGTTTGTGACTCGCCTGAGCGACAGTGAGACCCCAACTCATGAAAAAAATGGAAAAACCCAGCCTGGTACAAGGGCAAGCACAAGCATCTGTGATCTCAGCAGCTTCAGGAAGCTGAGGCAGCGGGATGCCCACAAGCCAGAGTCTGAGGTTGCAGTGAGCTACCAAGCTACTGCACTCTGCTCAGGGGCATAAAATATTCCACAAAATGGAAGATAATATTCACAAATTCTATCACCAAAAAGGGACTTAAATTACAATTCAATAATAAAGAGACAACCAAATTTAAAAATGGCCAAAGGATCTGGATAGGCACTTCTCCAAATAAGATATAGAAATGGCCAGCAAGCACAAGAAAATCATCATCATTAGACATTAGGGAAATGGTAATCAAAACCACAATGAAATGCCATTTCACACCCAGCAGAATGACTGTAATCAAAGATAGGTGTTAAGGGTTTAAAAGCATGTACAGAAAATGAAATCCTCATTTACTGCTGCTGAAAATATAAAATGATAATGCTGCTGTGAAAAGTCTGGCAGATCCTTGAAATGATAAACATGGAGTTACCACATAACCCAACAATTCCACTCCTGGGTATTTGTCCAAGAGCAACAAAAACATGTTCATACTAACTTGTACATGAACACACATATCAGCATGATTCATAAAAGCCAAAAAAGTTGAAAAACCCCAATGTCCATCAACTGGCAAATAGATCAACAAAATGTTATATATCTATACAACAGATTACTCAGCCATAAAAAGAATTAAAACTCTGAAATAAATTACAACACAGATGAACCTTGAAAACATTATGCTAACTGAAAGCCAGACACAAAAAGCCACACTGTATGAATCCATTTACATGAAATCTCCAGAACAAGCAAATCCATAGAGATAGAAAGTAGATAGTGGCTGCCTAGAATGAGAGAGGTGGTCCAGTTGGGAAAAGGAGTGACTGCTAAAAAATACAAGTTTTTTTTTGAGGGGATGTTATGAAAATGTTCTAATAATTGTGATGATACCAGAATTCTTTGAATATAGTAAAAATCACTGAATCATAGACTTTACATGAATATATAGTATATAAATTACATTTAAATAAAGCTGTTTAAAAAAAAATAAACTGTGGTTACTATCCATTCAATTAAGTTCCAAGAGGGCTATTCTGCATGTAGAATAATACCTAGCACACACACGTACTTAATAAATAATTATTGAATGAATTAATCTACTATATACAAAATCTTATAAAACTAGCCCAATCTATTACAACATCTGTCTTCCGGGCTACTTCCTCACCTTCCACCCATGCCAATGAGCATTCTATTCTACCACTCTGCTGAAAGTTTCCCACATTCCTAATTGTCCATTACAAGGGACTCTTCAGTTTTCATCGGATTTAACCACCCCATTACAGCCTAACATTGTTTACCCTTCTTAGAGGATCTACTCCTGTGCTACCAGCTTCCAAATGTTTCCTAAACCTGTCCTTTCTCCTACACTCTAGAGAAGTTTATATGCAGGGCTACTTAAATAAATTTGTTAATTAAATGAAATTTAAAATTCAGTTCTTCAGTCATATTTCAAGTGCTTAAGATTTCACAGGGTTAGCAGTCACCATATTAGGCAACAAACATTTGCCTTACATTTGATACCAAACATTTCCATCACTACAGAAAGTTCTACTTGACAACACTCTTCCTAAGTCTTTGCTACTTGACTACCTATAAGGCATTTGCACCAGCACCTCAAAACCCAATGGACCCCCAAATTATCCTTTATCTCTTCAACTCTCCACCTTTTCTTCTTATCCCAATCCTACCTTCACACCACCTTTTGTGAATTTTCACACACTGTTAAATGGTACCACCTACCCAGTTACCATGGCAAAATTCTTGTCATCCTAAATCCCTCCTCTTCACTCCCCATCCAATTAGCTACCAATTGTTACAGGCTGTCTAACATTAATAAATTCCCCTTTTCTCCATTCCTCTTGCTAACGTTTTAGTTCAAGCTCTCATCATTCCTCACGTGAATAAATGCATTAGTCTACAGGCCTTTTAGGTTCCAGCCTCTCATTTCTTCCAATGTGCAAATCTGGTCATGTATTTTCCCACCTAATACCTTATGGGAGTACTGCTGGATTGGATATGAAGCCCTGCAGGCCACGTTGCCTGTGTCTTCGATTCTCTATGTGATTATCTCTTCCTCCACCCTCACTTCTAATGCGCCACACTGCTTCCACACTGTTTCCTCTTCTGGCACACCTACTCATCTTTTGAGACCTGGCTTTAGCTTCACCGTGTACGTGAAGGCACTAAGTGCTCCCTATTAAAACAGTGGTTTTTTTTTTTTTGTACAGACACAGTCTTGCTATACTGCCCAGGCTGGTCTCAAGCTCCTGGCCTCAAAAGATCCTCCTACTTCAGCCTCCCAAAGTGCTGGGATTACAGGCATGAACCACTGTGTCTGGCACTATTAAAACATTAATAAGGGCTCAGCACCTGTGGCTCAAGTGGCTAAGGTACCAGCCACATACACCTAAGGTGGTGGGTTCGAATCCAGCCCGGGCCCGCCAAACAACAATGACGACTATAACCAAAAAAATAGCCGGGTGTTGTGGCCGGTGCCTGTGGTCCCAGCTACTTGGGAGGCTGAGGCAGGAGACTTGCTTGAGCCCAAGAGTTGGAGGTTGCTGTGAGCTGTGATGCTACAGCACTCTAGCCAGGGGGACAGCTTGAGGCTCTGTCTCAAAAAAATAAAAAATAACTACCACCTTTCCCTAATTATTCTTTCTTTCTTTTTTTGAGACAGAGTTTCACTCTGTCACCCTCAATAGAGTGCCATGACATCATAGCTCAGAGCAACCTCAAACTCATGGGCTCAAGTGATCCTCTTGCCTTAGCCTCCCAAGTATCCAAGACTACAAGTGCCCGCCACAACACCCAGCTAGTTTTATTGAATAATCCATCTACAATACATGGACTATTTTTTATTTTTTAAGCAGGCCCACTGCCACCCCTGGTGCATGGGGCCAGTGCTCTAACCACTGAGCTACAAGTGTTGTTGGCTAGTTTTAGAGACAGAGTTCTCACTCTTGCTCAGGTAATCCACCTGCCTCAGCCCCCCAGAGTGCTGGTATTACAGGCATGAGTCACTACACCTGGCTAAATTCTTTCTTAAGAGACAGTGTCTTGCTGTTGCCTAGGCTAGACTGCAGTGACATAGCTCACTGCAGCTTCAAACTTCTGAACTCTACAGTGATCCTCTTGCCTCAGTCTCCCAGGTCACTGGAATAGGTGAACCACTACCACCCAGACATTGTTCCTAAACTCTGACTTGATTTATGTTATGCTTTAGTACTAATAGAACATTAAAATAAGACTTCAAAAACAGCAGGGTATTGTTATAAAAACAGACATATAGACCAATGGAACAGCCAACTGATTTTTTACAAAGGCATCAAGAACACACACTGGGAAAAGGACCTTCTCTTTAGTAAATGGTGCTGAGAAAATTGGATATCCAGATGTAGAAGAAAGTAGACTGCTATCTCTTACCACATACAAAAATCAACACAAGACGGATGAAAAAATTAAACATAAGACCCCAAACTATAAAACTACTAAAAGAAAACAGGCAAACACTTTAGGACATTAGTCTAAGCAAAGATTTGATGGCTAAGACCTCAAAAACAAAGGCAACAAAAATAAAAACAAATAGGACTGTCTTACTTCTGGACAGCAAAAGAAACAATCAATAGAGTGAAGAGACAACCTGTTGAACAGGAGAAAAAGTTTGCAAACTCTTCTTCTGATAAGGGACTAATATCCAGAACATTCAAGGAACTTAAAACAACAAACAACAACCCTATTTAAAAATGGGCAAAGAGGTGGCACCCGTAATTAAGTGAGTGGGGCACCAGCCACATGCACTGAGGCTGGCAGAACCCCGCCGGGCCAGCTAAAACAACAATGGCAACAACAACAACAAAAAAAAGTGGCTAGGTGTTATGGTGGGTGCCTACAGTCCCAGCTACTTGGGAGGGTGAGACAAAAGAATTGCTTGGGCCCAGGAGTTTGAGGTTGCTGTGAGCTGTGACAGCACAGCGCTCTACCCAAAGCAACAGCTTGAGACTTTGTCTCAAAAAATAAAAAAAAATAAAAAATAAAAATGGGCAAAAAACATGAGTAGACATCTCTCAAAAGAAGACTTACGAATGGCCAACAGGTATATGAAAACAATGTTTAATATCACTAAATCCCAGAGACATGCAAATCAAAACCACAGTGAAATATTATCTTATCCCAGTAAGAACAGCTATTACTAATAAGACAAATAAATAAATAACAGATGTTGGTGAGGACGCAGAGGAAAGGGAACACATGTACACTGTTAATGGGGATGTAAATTAGTACAGCCACTACAGAGACTGAGTATGGAGATTTCTCAAAAACCTAAAAACAGAACTACTAATACAGTCTAATAATCCCACTACTGGATATTTATCCAAAGAAAAGAAAATTAGCATATCTGAGGGACACTTGCACCCCTGTGCTTCTTGTAGCACTATTCACAATAGCAAAGATATGGAGCCAACACAACAGATGAATGGACAAAGAAAATGTGGTATGCACACATAATGGAATACTCGTCAACTGTAAGAAAAGAATGAAATCATGCCATCTGCAGCAATATGGATGGAACTGGAGGTCACTGTGTTAAGCGAAATAAGTCAGGCACAGAAAGACAAATAATGCTTCTTCTCGGTAATATGCAAGAACTTAAAAAAATGGACCTCATGAAGATAGAAAGCAGAATGACTGACACAGAAGCTGAGAAGGATGGATGGTGGTAGATGAAAAGAGGGTGGTTATCTGGTGCAAACAGTTAGATGAAGGAAGAAGTGCAACATTCCAGATCAGAGTAGGCTAATTACAGTTAACAACAAAGTATTATTTTCTTCAATACTTGAAATGATACTTCTCAAGAAAATGGGACACCTCAAATACACTCAATCATTTTAGTCTAAGCATGTAAAAAAAAAAAAATTACATGTACCCCACAAATACATTCAAATATTTTGTATCAATAAAACGTTTAAAAATACAGGCGGCACCTATGGCTCAGTAGGTAGGGTGCCAGCCCGATATACGGAGGGTGGCAGGTTCAAACCCGGCCCCAGCCAAACTGCGACAAAAAAATAGCTGGGCGTTGTGGCGGGTGCCTGTAGTCCCAGCTACTCAGGAGGCTGAGAAAGAGAATCGCCTAAGCCCAGAAGTTGAAGGTTGCTGTGAGCTGTGTGACACCGTGGCACTCTACCGAAAATGATAAAGTGAGACTGTGTCTCTACCAAAAAAAAAAAATAGAGTAAGATTTCAGTAATGAATCTATGTAATCTTTACCAGACATCAATTTGCACATGCTTGGCCAATGCTAAAAAGGGAGAGGAGTCACTCCCTGCCACCCTCGCCCTGAGGTTAACTTCAGGTGGCCGCAGTTCTCAGTGACAGAGCACCAAAGAGAAATCCCGGGAGACCAAACCAGGGCCAAGAGTAGTCCACTGCCAAGGACTCAAATCGTATTCTTCTTGAGAAAGGCAACATTCTTCTAAAGTGGTTATTAAACAGATTACTGATTTATGCTATTTTTTAAAAAAGAATGAAATTAATAATGATTTATACCATAACTGGCAATACAAAAAACTTATATTGGGAATGAAGATGTTTCAGTATTGTATGACAATTCTGTTCAAAACTGTGATGCATATAAATGCATACCTGTAATAATTCCAAGGTCATGGGAATATTCTTAAGTTCCTTCAGCAAATCCAATGCTCCAGCCTAGAAAATAAAATAAAATTTCATATTGAACTCCCAAGACAGTAAAGTGGGGTCTAACCGAAGATTTACATTATAATTTGTATCCATAACTCATGATGGCTCATTTTAACTGAAGATTTACATTTATAATTTGTATCCCTAACTCATGATGGCTCATTTTAATTGAAGATTTACATTTATAATTTGTATCCCTAACTCATGATGGCTCATTTACTCATATGAAAACAAAGATATATATATATACACACACACACATACATACACACTATCTTTCAAATGGAGACTAAAACTTATCAGAAGATCATAAAATCCATTTACTGCATTATAACAAGCACTTATGAAGCAATTGGTTCAGTATTGTTTACTAAGGGTTTCTCTTCAATAGATTTGTTTATTTGTTAGTATGTGTATATGAGTAAAAATATAAAATTTCTTACTGTGGTGGTGTAACACACCTCACAACTCTATGGAGAGGCTCAGTGCCTGGAGCTCAGTGGCTAGGGCACCTGCCACATACACCAGGGCTGGAGGGTATTAACCTGGCCTGGGCCTGTCAAACAGTAACAACTGCAACAAAAAAACAGCCAGGAGATGTGGCTACTTGGGAGGCTGAGGCAAAAGAATCGATAAACCGAGAATTTGAAGTTGCTGTGAACTGTGACGCCATGGCACTCTATCAAGGGTGACAAAGTGAGACTGTCTCAAAAAAAAGGAAAGAGTTGACTGAGAAAGGAACCAACCCTGAGAAGTTGCAGTGAGGGCCAGCAGATCCTGCAGCCTCTCCAACATTCGCTCAGGTATAGGGGGAGAGGGAGACTTGATTCTCATGAAGTCTCTCTGTATCTCACTGGTCTGCTTGGACATCTGCCTACCTGGTTCTTACATAATAGTAAAGAGCAAATCTAAAGAAAATTCAGAATTAAGATCTATGTTAAGTTCACAGGCCTGTCCAATTCCCATTTAGAGTCAAAAGCTCCCAAGATGATGAAGAGGAAACAAAATATGTCTCCTCTTATTACAGAAGAATTACAGAAATCACTAAGAGAAATAAAATTAGATAAGGAGCAACAGCACCACCTATAGCCTGTGGCCAAATATTCCAATCTGATATTCTTTTAGTATAGTTCACCTAATACATTCACTTAATCAAATTTCATTTAGTCTAATATTAACTTAATGTATTCTATTTGGTAAAAAGTGAAAAGATGTATACGATCTGAAGAGAAACCAGAGTATTTATATATATATATGCATGTGTGTGTGTGTATGTATGTGTGTATTTTTTTTGTTGTTGAGACAGAGTCGCACTATGTTGCCCTCGGTAGAGTACTGTGGCATCATAGCTCACAGCAACCTCAAACTCTTAGGTTTAAGCGATTCTCTTGCTTCAGCCTCCCAAGTAGCTGGGACTACAGGTGCCCGCCACAACACCCAGCTATTTTTTTGTTGCAATTGTCGTTGTTGTTTAGCAGGCCAGGGCTGGGTTTGAACCCGTCAACCTCGGTGCATGTGGATGGCGCCATAACCACTGTGCTACAGGCACTGACGTAGAGAAACTCTGTCTCAAAAAAAAAAAAAAATCTGTAAGTTTTGACTCTAGGTTTGACATTCTGCCTATGAGAATACACTGCAACAATCATCTGGCTAGTGCTAAGTACAACTCATCTATTTCCTAAAATATCAAAGTATGAAAATGAGGCCCTACAAATTAATGAAAGACAGGAAGAATAGAAACCCCAAAGCACGTCACTCTTTATCCCCCCCCAAACCAAGAAGGAAACAAAGACTCTCACAGCACTACTGTATACACAGTAGAACCTCTATAGCTGCCACCTAAGGGATTGTTACAAACTGGTCAACATATAGAGGTGGTCAACTAAAGGCACTAGGTGTACTGTACTGATATTTTATGTGATGCATGTCTGATCTATGAAAATGAGATGGACTTGAGGAAGTCAATATAGGGAGGTGGTCTACTATGGAGGTTCTACTATCTTTCTTTTCTTTTTTGAGACAGAGTCTCACTGTCACCACAGCTAGAGTGTAGTGGTGTCATCTAGCTCACTGCAACCGCCACTCCTGATCCTCTTGCCTCAGCTTCCCAAGTAGCTGGAACTATAGGCGCACATCCCCACACGTGGTTAATTTTTTCTATTTTTGGTAGAGATGGGGTCTCACTCTTACTCAGGCTGGTTTTGAATTCCTGCCTTCAAGCAATCCTCTCTTCTTGGCCTCCAAGAGTACTAGGATTGCAGGCGTGAGCCACTTGCCTATCATATATTTCTTAAATATAAAATCAAGTAAAGTCTTCCAGTCACGTAATTTTTCCACTATTTCCAGACATTAGACATTAGACGTGCCTCCAAACAGTGTTACCTTTTTTTCTGGCACCGAAGAGATAAACCATTTTAATTTAAACAAATATCTCATAAATAAAACTTTAAATTCAGTAGAAATTAGGAAATAGATCATAAAGGATTTTAATGATTTGCTGCTTAAAGATCCTATCTGATTTTAAAATTCTATAAATTTCTGTACTTAGAGGCAACAACTGTGTAATGTTGTTAGAGCAGAAAACACTGACTTAGAATTATTATTCAGGGCGGTGCCTGTAGCTCACTGAGGCTAGCTGGCTGGTTCGAACCTGGCCCTGGCCAGCTAAAACAATGCAACTGCAACAACAACAACAACAAATAGTAGGCATTGTGGCGGGTGCCTAAAGTCCCAGCTACTTGGAGGGCTGAGGCAAGAGAATCACTAGAGCCCAAAAGTTTGAGGTTGCTGTGAGCTGTGACACCACAGCACTCTACCACGGGCGACATGATGAGATTCTGTCTCAAAAAATAAAAAGAATTATTATTCAACAAATGGGCCAGGTGTGGTGGCTGGTGCCTGTAATCCCTGCACTCTGGGAAGCCAAGCAGGTAGAACGCTTGAGGTCAGGATTTTGAGACAAGTTTGAGCAATAGCAAGATCCCTGTCTCTAACAGCCAGGTGTGGTGGGCGCCTGCAGTCCCAACGTCTTGGGAAGCTGAAGCAAGATCATTCGAGCTCAAGAGTTTAAAGTTGCTGAGCGCTATGATGACACCATGGCATTCTATTAAGGACAACAGAGTGATTCTGTCTCACAAAAAAAAGAAAGAAAGAAAGAAAAGAAAGAAAAGAAAGAAAAGAAAGAAAGAAAAGAAAAAAGAAAAAAGAATTATTATTAAACAAGAATTTCCATATGCATGACATTTTTGTGAGCAAATGAGGTCTTCAACCCCTTAGCTATAAAATCCAAAACCAAAAACCTTTGAAAACTAAAAGATTTCCAGATTTCTCATTAAGTTTGTTTATTTGAGATAAGGTCCTGTAGTCTCAGCTACTTGGGAGGCTAAGGCAAGAGGATAACTTGAACCTGAGAGTTTGAGGTTGCTCTGAGTTAGGTAGATGCCACAGCACGCTACCAAGGGTGACAAAGTGAGACTCTGTCTCCAAAAAAAATAAAAATAAAAACAAACAAACAAAATAACCAATCATATATTAATTCAGTGACAACAAACTTTTCTTGTTATTATGTGCTTGCCAGGTATCATATTAAATACTTCACACACATTAGCTCATTCTATGTGCACAATAAACCCTATAGAAGCAGGTAATCTATTATCTTCATTTTACAGATGAGGAAATTAAAGCCAGTTAAGAAACTTGCACAAGGTCATAAAATAGCTAGGAAAGGTGAGATCTACCCCTATAATTAATTCTATAAAATTACACTCTATTGCCTCTCAACAAAAAGCTCATCAATGCTATGTATCAACCTCTGCTCTGTGTAAGGATACAGCAGTGAGCAAGATAGAAAACCCTGCTATGCATGGTGGCTCATGCCCATAATCCTATCACTCTTGGAGGCCAAGGCAGAGGATTCTTTGATCTCGGGAGTTTAAGACTAATCCCATCCCACCCCTAATTAGTTCAAGACTAATCCCATCCCACCCCTAGAAAAATTAGCCAGGCATTGTGTCAGGTGGCCTGTAGTACCAACTACTCTACTTGGGAGGCTCAGGCAGGAGTCCAGGAGTTTGAGGTTACTAGGCTGATGACATGGCACTCTAGCCTGGGCAACAGAGTGTCTGTCTCAAAAAAAAAAAAAAAAAAAAAAAAA